CTCAATCCTAATCAATTATTTTGTCGTTTTCATGTTTTTCTAAATTTAACAATAGATTGCAGAATATATCTCCTTACTAATAAACTAAATTGTCTTATAGACGAATCTATCGCGTGATAGTATTAAAAAAGAAATGAAAATATACTCGATCACCTACGTCAATCCACTGTTTACATATTCAAATTAATCTGTTCGTATAGAACTCTTTGAATCCTATATGTAAAGCTTGTATTGCAAAAAACTGTTATGGCTTAATCAAGGAATATTAGCAGTGCTTGAATGATTGCTTTCAAAAATGAAAACCATTTATTAGATATTATATTATTGTTTCTTTCTAAAAGAAAAAGAATATGATGCGACCAACGCGTAGCTAAACCTATTAATCTATTTGACAGATAACAAACTAGATAATGATATATGACCTAGCAAATACGTATTTTCATAAATCTATATGAATTTAAGTTAATCATGAGTAGAGAAGTAAATGTTGTCTTTTCATTTGAGCTTAGTAATTGGAACTTATGTGTTGTATGACTCTTTATATTAAGTAAATTTGTTAAGTATTATTTTTAGGCTCATTTTTGAATTTATTAATATAGAAATAAATATAAATCGTTCATACTCAAATATACTTTAAAAACGAATAGATAATACATTGGCACTGTTTTCGTTATTTTTAAAGCAAAAAGTGTAACAGAGTCGAAATCTAGATAATGAACTCATCGACCTGTTGAATCAAGTCGAGTTTTGAATATCTACGATAGTAACAAGTTGAGTGAGTTTATTAGAAATTCTCGTTCATTAATTGGAGTAATCATATCATATTTTATATTTTAATGCGAAGAAAATTGTGCTAATAATTTTTATCATACGATTAGGAACGATTCTCAAAAGCAAAAATAAATATTCTCTCAATTACGCGAAGTGGTAGCGCGAAATGGATCATCACAATACACTTAGTCACAGCTGAATTTCAATGCCAAGCAAATCATTATTCTTCATAATTAACAAAAACAGCAAATTCTCTATTGAAAATTCATACAATATCAATAAGGTCAAAATTATTAATGAATGCGTTTAACTGAACTCATATACATAATTTCGACTTGATTAATCGGCAATAAAATAAAAGTTTATTTGAGAAAAAAAGTAATAGAACATGTCAAAAATTCTCTTGAACTGTCATGTGAATTGTCAAAATTAATTTTTGCGAACATCATCGATGTGCATACCATGTTATAAATATTATTTATCTACTATTTTGATGAATGGATTTTCATGACTCTATATGACAAAATGTCTGTGTCTATTCTCTTGCATTTTCACTGTAAAGCCAAGTGAATTAGCGTGCAATAAATCTTAGTATTTCTTACACGTATTTGTCAGATGTAGAAATCTTGCATTTGTCAAGAATGACATTCAATGCGATGTGCCCTACTTTAGGAAAAGAAACAACTATTGTCATATAAAATAATTAAATGGTTCTACTAGGGAGAAAGATAAAAGGAAATACCCTCAATAAGCCTTGTCTAGTCAACACTAAATGTAAGATGAAAGGTGGTAATAAAGCAAATATACTTACTGCTTTTCTCTCTTTGAATTTCAAGGTTATGAAAGATTCATTGTGACATAATTAAACATTTTCTATTGAAGCCACTTGTGAATAATTTAACTGACAAGATTTCAATCGATAGAAGTTTTCCTGTTTCAACATTAAGAATTTTTGTTGACGGCAAAATTTTCTAGCTTTCGATTTATTCTAGTTAAAATTGAACGTTTAGGTAGTCAGAAATTATTTTATTTTAGACTTTGACTAACCTAAACTGAATTCTATAGGAAGTGAAAAATAAGCCAATAATAGTGATTATACGACACCGGATGAAATCTGATAAGTGTACTTCACTATATTTTCCCCTTATTTTATGGTAAAGTTATTAAAGTAATCTACTTTATTTTACTGTTGTTTTTAAAAGCAAAAGTAAAAATAATTTATCATATTTATTTTTTACTAATGGAAAACAAAAAACATTAATAGACAAGTTTGATTACGAAGCGAGTACAAAACTGTGAAAAAAACGATGTCAACGGTTCGATTTGAATTTGTATTGATTGAATTCTGTTCAAATTTCTCGTGTATTCAATAGTAAGAAGAAAGTGATTTTTAGATGCTACTTATTATTTGTTTTTCTGAAATATTTTTGATAGTAAAGCACCCAGCAGTGAATGCTATTTGCATGGTTAATAATATTTTAATATAAAAAAAAGCAACCAGCTAGAAGAGATCTATCTCTGTACTTCTAATATTAACATACAGGTTATTTAATTGTTCTTCTATAAATAACAACATCATTTGCCCCTCTAATACAAAACTTACTGCTACATAAAAGACAACCTGTAAATGGCACGGGCTTTGTTTATCGTGAATGGCGTGCATTTTGCTTTTCAAAAGAAATACTTATTTTTACCATGAAACGCATGTTTTATTTCTATGACCTGCTTATATATCACTCGTACGATGAGAATTGCATGTTCTAAAGAGCTATTTGATGAGTATCGAAGACTCGAAATAAAAGAACTTTTGCACTCAGAACATCAAGCAATCAAATCTTTTCGTGTTTTATGCATTAAAAATATCCGAGGTCAAACAAGATTAGTTATAAAAAGCCCCGTTTAGAATGTTTTTTTGTTCTCACTCTTTTACGAACATATTTAATTATATGCTAAACGATAAAAAAACGATGGTATACTGTATTTTCATACCGTTATCGGCTGCATAATGACACTCTATCAAGCATCAGTTGGCAGGCATTTACGACTCGATATCGAATGAGACAATAATATAGAATACCGTTTTGAAAAGTGTCAGCGACTTCAACCATTTAGTCTTTGGAGGCTCGTTGAAGGTTTGAGCTTTGAAAGTAATCCCTCTAAATGCTTTTCTTTTTACTGAAGTTTAGGGATCAGCAAACAATTTTTAATTCTATATATACATCATATAACTTTCCTCGAGCGATCGAAACCTGAAGAAAATGACGTCTTGAGAAATAATGAAAGATAAATATAGGAAAAAAATGTGAGAAATAAAAAGAAATCAATAGAATTAATCAAAATTTATGAATAACACACTTCAGCATACCTATTTGGTTGATCATAAAAAAAAATGTTAAGCCTATCATTAATTTCAATAAGGAGTGACGTTTCTTTCGAAAACTGATACTCAGTTTTTCAATGCAATGAAACATTTATAAAGATGAACTATTGTAGTCGCTCTATGTGCAGAGTCTCGAATAGGACAAAACTATATACGAATGAAACAGAGCAGTATAATATTTCTCGAAGTATCAATAAAAAATTTTAATCGATGGGTACACACTTTAAGTGAATCAAATCAATATAATTGCTTTTTCTTTTGTCTCAAGTAGACTTACGTCAGATTTGTTAATATATGAAATGGCAATGGCATTCGAGCTTCTGCGCCGATGATGTACCTATTTTCATGAATATTAAACATCGTTACGGATTTCTAATGAGTGAATTTCTTTTGAAAACTTTGTCGATACATAAACCTAACGACTTTAAGCAACTTTCGAAGACATGACTATTCAATTTGACCGAAAGTGAACCGATGAAAATCTTTGATGATTTGGATTGATCCATGTGAGATCTGTGCTAATTATTCTTTTATATATTAGCTCATTTGATGTGATCAATATACAGACAAACTTTTTTTAAATAAATTTACCGCATAAAAACTGGTGATTCAATCGGCACGTTTGTCAGATGCTAAAACCAATGAAAAAGCAACAACAACAATCGTATCAGTATGATTTCAAACGTTTACGGGTATTTTTCAGGCCAAGTTGAGTAGATTTTCACATCAAATACACTCGACATCATTGCCATATTTATGTTTGATTTTACTTATTATAAAACAGAATTGATTGATCCCATCAAATACTAAAAGTTTGCTAAAAAGTCACAAGTCCTATTTTACACTATCGATACAATTCACACTTGAAGAAAACAAAACAAGAGTGCACTAAAGAATAGTTGAAACATCTGTTCTTGGCTGATTGAACTCGTGTAACGATGTAGTCTGCACGATCATAACACATACGTTTATCGCCATAATTGCGCGCAACTATGGAGCATGTTAACACGACCAGAGCACACGTACAAAAAATGAATGGTCCTCAGTACTCCAGCGGTTGCACACACAAAATTCAAACGCGTTTCCTACTACTTGGCACAACACAAACAGATGTTTTCTTTTTCCTTTTGTATACTTTGTACATCTGTATGTTAGTATTTTTTTTTTTGAAACTAATGTCAACAGAATTATTCATGTGCATTCAGAACTATCGATTCAAGTGTTAATGGCCTGTGCAAAAGAAAAACTTTTTTCTGCTGATCACGGCAAGCGAAACTAAACAAAAAATTGATCCAGTCTCAAATAGATTTTCAGTTTTCCAACATAATTTTACGTTTTCATTGAATAACGAAAGTAAACCAATCTTCATATTTAATATTACTTTGTTGTCGACTAAAAAAACATGCTTAGAATCTTTTATTTTTATCACTGATCAACGAAGCATTATAGAGTTCACTTTCTTACAAAAAAGATCAGTCGTTGAAAGATTCACTTCCATGAAAACACTATTCTGAAAAATTAAGTATAAATAAAAATTTTCCCTCGCATGCACTACTGTGATAGTATTAAAAAGTTGTCTTTTGATTTTCTCAATTTGATCACCGATCAAACTTCTCAATCGAAGTAATCATTATCTAACAGAAACAATCGTTTACGTCATCTAAATAAAATAAAACAGCTAGAATAATTTTTTTTTGCCGAACTGCACAGTTCGTTCACTAAAACAAGTTGGCGTGGTAAGAATGCAATTTATTATTATAGTTTAGTTGATACCATATTGTGTATATTCATTTACAAGACAATTTCTTCTGTTGAACATAAGCAAAATGTAAATATCCATAAGGTTGCATTAAATGTTCATCGGCGTCGATTGAGAATTATCAGTAGTGGTTGGTTGCTGTTGTCGTCTAACTATTTCTTGTTTAACTAAATTTTCTTGTACATGATTTGGTAGAGCTGGATTAAGTGTTAATACAAATGGCAATAACAGTTTTGGTGTTTCATTAAGTGTAACAATGATCTTAATGTAAGTTGTATCATCTCTAACATACATACTATCATCTTGCAATAGTAAATTCAATGAAACGAATCTAGGAATTCCACTCGCTATATTGGCTTCATCTACTGGACGTTGAAATGAAGTTGATTTGACATCAGGATAGAATGAATCGATTATATGACGATTATTACCCGTTTGGTCTAGTAAACAAAATGTTACTTTATATTGAAATGGCCATTTAAGTATGGCATCATATTCTCCTTTCATCAATACAAAAAATAAAGATACATGAGTACGTCGTGCGTTACCATCACCAAATAAGAAGAGTTTTGCGCGCATCTTATAGCCTGTGTGGGAAGAATAAAATACTGGAGATAATATACTTGTTTGTCTTTCGGATTGCGCATCGGCCATTTTTTCTGAAACATGCTCAATACGCCATGTTAACACACCATCGGTTGATATGTATTCACTGGCAGTACATATTTGTTGCAAATTTTCAATATCCTTTTGTAGTTGAACTTGGCTTGGTTGTATACTACGTTTTATAGGTATTTTTTCGAGGATACTTGAGTGGGCATTACTAACTTCTTGTACGATTGTACTAAAACGCTCATTTAAAGAAGTAAAACCATTAGTTATTTCTATTGTTTTATCGTTAATTATTTGCGTTGTTCTTGATAAGTTAGCTATTTGTTGGGAAATTTTTTCTTCCAATTCTGTATCTATTGCGTCTAATTCCATGTCTTGTTCCTGAGTAGATGATTCTGGAAAATGATATTCACCAATTAAAAATTTACTAATCGTTTCTTGATGTTTTCCACTGAAGACATGATGTATGAAATCAGTTTTACGAATCTGAAATTGAAAAAAAAAAAAATTTTAAAAGTAATTTTCGAAATAGTTAGTCCTTTTATTACCATTTCCTCAGTACATAACGGTGACAATGGACATGCTGCAAAGATTCTCGGGCAAGTTTTTCTTATATGTTCATTAAGTATTGCTTGCGAAGAGAAACTTTCATTACATTCAAGACAGATAGATTGCATATGTACCCTGTCGAGATGTGACTATAAAACAGATAAATAGAGCTATTATAAAGAAGAGCAAACAAGGATTCAAGGTTTATATACTTGATAGTCGTTTAGTAGTCCTTCCCAATTACATTGTTTGTCTCTTCGATGAACACATGCAACTTTGAGAATATCTAATTCTTTTTTGAATGCTTTATCAGGCATAATCTTTATATAGAAAGGAAAAACAAATAGATACGATGATTAATCGAAATTTTTATAGCTGTTTCTTACTTGGCTTTTGTTTGTTTTTATATTACAATCATCATATGGGCATGTGACATTCTCATCAGGTGCAACCGCAGCTCTAGCTTCGAAACAACCTCGACAGGATCGATGGCCGCACTCTACTAATTGGATAGGCTCTTGAATAAGAAGCGAACAAAATATGCATTTGAATCTTGAATTCTTGTTTTCTATGTCGTCTACGTCAAAGCCGCATTTCGGATAGGGCGAAATTGAAAAAGATGAAACACGTTCATTGCTCAGTTGAGAGTTACAGCTGTCAACCATGAATAATTAAAAATGATCAGGCATTCTTTACAAATATCTAAAATGAGACACTGCTATTAAAAAACTTTGATTCAAACATTTTTCTAAATAATCCCTTATGCCAACTTGAAATATGACATCGATCAAAGCAATAAATAGAAATGAGTAAAATTTTTTCTTACTAACATTTATTTCTAATTATTCAACATGAATATACGTATATAGTGAGCATTGCAATATGATTCATTTTAACTACGCGTATGATAAAAGATTCTAGAAGCGAACGATATAATTTCGTATGAAAAGTTCAAACTGATGTAATTCTCAAACTTCATATTATTTCGAGATTGTTCTTGGCGGTCAGATTAATTGTTTGTCTCAATTTCTATAGACACAACTATTGAGAAATAAATTTCAATCTTTTGATTTTTCTGACTGAGACAGAAAAAACCTTCAACTAATATTATTCAACAGACATGGTATTGGTAGGCTTTCTAGACCATATCACGGATAATGAACATGATTGGTTTGAAAAGGTTGCAAATAGAAATATCAATACTTCATGCGCATGCCTATTTTTTTTAATATACGTAACCGATTTTATCATTCTATTGAGAGAGAAAAACAAAGCAAATTTTAGACTTTATATCGCAAACAGATAAATAGGAGACGCGAATTTTGGCAGTAAAACTCGAATTGATTTATTTTGGTATATTTATGATACTATTGAATAGCGTGCGCCAATGACACCTATCCGTATCATGTCAAAGCGGACATATAATAGCACGAATTGAAAAAAAGGAAGCAATCAGAGAAAAATTGACAGATCTAATACAATAATAGTATAAAATGGAAAAATTGAAAGGATTATGAAGGCCGCGAGCTTATTTTTTACAGTCGTGAATGTAAGAGAAAATTTGTAATGAGGACGATCGTCGCTACTTGAAAAAATGTGTTTGATTTCTTCCAGCAGAAAAAAGTTGAAAAATAAGTTAACCTTATCTCTTATAAAAATTAAAAAATACTCTATGATTATGATTGCTCTCCATCTTCATTGAGTTGGTCAAATCTTGAAATGTACAAATCAGTCACGATTGAGAGTATGACTATAGAAGGAAAGAACAGACGAAGAGAAAATTCGCAGATACACTCTCATACTCGTGTGTATCTACTATACGACCACCTTTCAAACCCTCTCTATAGCATACGAAGAGTGTATAGAGAAGCAAAAATGATAAATTTCTTCAAGGGTAGATTTCATCAATCCAAGTCAAATGTAAGAGTGTAGATTATATACGATTTTCAAGTTCAATAATGTTTACAAGAAGTTTCAGATCCCATAGAAGGTAAGTATCACTTACGCTGTCTAAAAGCAGAAAAATGTGATGTATTCGTACATTGCACCTTTGACTCCAGTCGACAAGAAATCTATTCTAACAGTTCGCACATCTTCTACATAGTCTCTATATCCTTTTAGTCTCTAAAAATACGCTAAACGAAAATTTTAAACCTATCTATGATAAGAGATATCGGTTGATTTTCGAAGTGTCAGCATTACAACGGACGACTGAAGTTCGATCTCGGGGGGGGGGGGGGGGGGGGGGGGGGGGGGGGGGGGGGGGGGGGGGGGGGGGGGGGGGGGGGGGGGGGG